GTGCAAATTCAGCAAGGAGATATTTTAAGGGCAGGCTGCTCAATACTTTATTTTTCTAGAAAAGTATTTAAAACAAACAAATTGGGGGGTTAAATAAAGCTTATTTGTGGTCACAAAGGCATTGTCCACTGGGAATCCACAGCTTTCATTTTGAGGCAACTTTGGTTTAAAAAAAAAAAAAAAAAAAAATTGAAATCCAGCTACAGGGCATAGAAAGAGAAAAGGTTTCTGCAAAGAGAATGGGTTCTATTTTTTTTTTTATTGAGAAACAAGCTAATTGTATTTGCAGTCGACTTACTGCAAATATTTTAGTTTTGTAAAATGCATCTTTGAATTGCAGTGCATATAGGTTTAGGAAAGTCCAACCAGGCGATTGTATTAGTATATTCTTACGCTAACTTTCAAGTGAAGGTTGGAAGCCACACTTACACTTAGCAGTTCCTACCCCACATGGCTCGAGAGTGCAACTATTTCAGTCCCAGAAAAATATTTTTTAGACTTTCCAGCACCATTTAACGTCACATCATATATCACCCTCCACCACTGCCTCTGTTAAACACACTACTCAGGCAGCAAGCCGGCATGTGCACATGCAGCGGTTTGCAAACCAGCCGGAATAATTTCCACTCCTTTTTAAGCTACTATTAAAATGTGCCTGGTTTTGTGAAACAGCTGCATGGGTTTAATAGGAACTTCTTAGGATAACTTTGACAAATGTTAAAATGATCATACTTTTCAGAGGATCCCCTTGCATTTCATTATTCTATATTCATTATATTCCTATTTAAAAGCTAAGTTTGCAACCAAGAAACTGAAAGGGAAAAAAAAAAAAAAAAGTGAACTACCCAGTGAGGAACTTTCTGCTAACAAGGGCAAGTTTCTTGGATTTATGTCCTGGCGATCATTTCCCCTGGCTTTGCTCCAACACAGTCACACGTGCACAAGTCAGATATGACACTGCCGCCTTTCAGCTCCTGGGAGGGCTTTGCATGGCTGCCTGGCAGCCCCACACCTCGCGAGGCAGTGGACACTGACCCTCCACCTGGAAGGACAGGCTGCAACTGCTGGGACTGTGTGACTGTGTTGGCAAATCTGGTCTTACCCAGCTAAAGCCTGAACATGAGTCTGTACCTGATACTTCTG